AGAATACTTAAACTAAATTAACAGTATTATGTGAAATCAGTAGGATCAGTGGTGTAAGTGAGTGCATGAGTGGAGAAGTGTTGTAATAAGATGCAGCAACACAATCAAACCATCAAACCCAAAAACCAGTTAGTTGTCTCAGGGAGGAGAGAGAGCCTCAGGGGTGTCCGATTTGCTGACGACCCTCTGCCATGCCCACTTAAAGTACCTGCACAGAAAACAGGACAAGCCACACAACCAGGAACAGGAAGACAGGGTGGAGTGGGTCGTCACAATGTTGCACACAAAAAAAACCCACAAAGTTAAATCCTCATGTTTTTCAAACTTCCCATTATAGTAGGTGCTTGTGTTTGTTGGGTTAATTTTACTTGCTGTATCTGATTTCTCAAAATGTATTCACCAAAACCTATCCATATTCACATAGGTATTCCCATATGTAGCCTGTTGTTAACATATAGTACTGTAAATAGTAAAACTATTATACTTAAAGTGTAGCCAAGCCACGGAGACAGTAAGTTGTTTAGCGATATGTAATAACTGAATGGCTGTAACAGCTCAACTATAGTGGGATTTTGAATGTGTTTGTGGATGCTTAATACAAGCTCTGATTATCACACGCCCCTGATATATTTATGTGGTTTGTTATATGAGATAATAATGTAGTTTCTCTTAAAGTGTTTCTGATTCTGAAGTTTATTTGGAATGTTACAATTAGACCTGCAAATGGTACAAATGGCCCTAAGATGTAGTTTGGGGGACAATATTACCCCCTGTGCTTTATTTGATTCAGCTTTTTAATTGATCTTCATACAGTTTTTTGCCAGTATGAATGTAAAATAGGTCTTAAATTGCATTCATAATAGTCTTTAGGTCTTAAAAAGTCTTAAATTCAAGCTGTTGAAACCCACAGAAACCCTGATTAATTTCATGTCTTTATATGATGCTGTAAAATTACTTATTTTGACCATTATTCTCCCAAAACTCAAAAAAGGGACAATGTTACTGGATCAGTTGTACGCTGCGAAGGCAAGTAGTAAATAAATATTTTTTGGGTCATTGTTGACCATATATATAAATTAAATGTGCTACAAACAGTAGCTTTGTTAAAGGTTAACTGAGCTTAGTCAACCTATGTAGAGGCTAGGTTAGGACAATTTGAGCTCAGTAAACAGTTCAGTCAGTGGCAACAACATTTTGCAACATATTCACTGTATTTTATTAGCCACATAAAGTAGTGAAATTACACAAGCTGTGATATCAGGATTACACCACCACATGTTTCAAATGGGTTGGTAAAGTTGGTCGTACCCTTACTTCTACCCTTGTCCTTGCCTTCTGGCATGAGGCTGTATCCTTGAGCACAAAGATAACCTGTGAAATTCCTGCTGGCTGCCTTCACGGCGGTGATGATTTATGGGACAGTTGGTGACGCATTACAGGGGAGTGAAGTGTTATGTACATGGAGAGGAGTAACAACAGCTGATTGAGCAATAGGCAGCCAATAATGTACTGTGCAACTATCTGAAACAGAACAACAGTATAGTCTACGGTAATAAATAAATTCAAGGAAAAAGACCAAATCAAACGTTTTAAGAATACTATTATATGCACATAATTATAATGAGTTAGCTTTTAGTCCAGTTTTTATGCAGTGACAATTGACACACTATTCCAATAACATCCTGTTTAGAACAGAAATATATGTGGTTCAGTTTGTCCTAGAGTTGACTATTAAAATTGGTCTTGCCTTTGTAGGTAGGGTAAAACACTGTAGCTAGTATTGTATTTATGATGTCTGGTGATTTATTTGCATCATCTGTAGAGCCACAACAGGGGAGTGACCTTTCCCACACCTGAAACATAACAGCCCAGACTCTGTAAGTATATGGCTATTATAGTCTGTCCACTAAATGATAGAAAATCCCTCTGTAACGACACACAGTGTATTCTTGGACCAGACCAACTACGAGGTGAACCATGTAACCAAA